CACATGGCCCCGGTGCCAGGCTGAGCAGCGAGGCCACATGGCCCCGGTGCCAGGCTGAGCAGCGAGGCCACAGGGCCCCGGTGCCAGGCAGAGTATAGAGGCCTCACGGCCCCGGGGCCTGCCAAGCAGCGAAGCCTGACGGCTCCGGGGTGGCTCCGGCTGGAGCCCAGCCAGAGCGAAAGCCTGGGTCCCGGGTGCGGGAGGAAAACCAGTGCTAGCAGCCAAGGGAAGGGAAGGCCTATTGCATGAATCTTTTCGTGCAACAGGCCTCTAGTATTATAATAAATTACTGAAGGAGCCTTACTGAAGATATTGTGATCCTGCATGGTATTAAGGATACAGGCTAGGTGACCAAATAATCTCTTCCAGTCTTAAGCGTCCTAAGTGTTGAAAGTTCATTAACCCTTTAACGCTATGAATTCTTCTGAGATGTTCAGAAATAATGCCTAAATTTTGGCTATAGGTTGAAGAACCATCAAGTGAGCAAGTGGGAGACAAATGGAAAGGCATATGCATTTATAAAGGAAGAAAAGACAACGCAAGTTTTAGAAGTCCATATTTGAAATTAGAAAGCATTTTTAATTTTTCTAATTTTTTTAGAGTAACAATTTCTATGTTAATCTAGGAATTCATCTTGGTAGTGTTATAAAAATATATATGAATTAATTATTTAAGGCATTTGTCAACCTTTTAAGAAGAAAATACATTGGAAATGAACTGAGTATTACAAGTTGCTAATAATTTTTGAGATGTGAAATAAGCAGCCTTGAAAAAAAAAATCCAAATAAATTTTAGTACTTTTTATAATTTGTGACTGGACCACCATTTGGTCTTTTATGAATTCTTTAGTATTTCAAGGCAGCATGGTATATATAAACAACTTCAGCTATTGAGTCAGACAGACCTGGTTTCAAATTTTAGTTTTGACACTTACTAACCATGTGACTTCAAGTATTGTAATGCCTCTGAGCCTCAGTTTTTTCATCTGTAAAATAAGAATAATAATACCTTTATTCCAAGATTGTTAAAATTAGAAAATGATGTATATAATATACCAGTGCCTGGTACATAAAAGGAGAAGGTCAATAAATATTAACTATAATCATCTTTTAGTCAGGTAAGTGATTTGTATGTTAATGATGACAATGATGTCTGGGGTTTAAGGAGCTCATGCTCTCTCAGATTTTAGAACTTCTGAAGCTAGATTATAATCTGAGATGACTGTGATGTACTTTTACTTTTTAGAAAGAGGTTAGTGTTTGGAGGGCAGTAAATCACCTTCTACTCTGTTGTCTTACATTTTATTAATCTTTGGGCTATATCTTTACCTCTCTTCCATTTTGTTATGTCTAATACCAAGGATCCCATAAGCAAACAGTTCACCAAAGGGGATTAAAATACATGTAGAAATCTTGTATCATTTTCAGGAAGTATTTGGACAGTCAAGGAAGGTATACTTATAATACTCCATGATTTTTTTCTCCTTCCCTCTCAAGCTGAGCCATTACCTGGATATTGTGGAAGTAAACATTGCTCACCAGATCTCTCTACGTTCAGAAGCATTTTTTCATGCAATGACCTCTCAACACGAATTGCAGGACTACCTCAAGAAAACTTCCCAGGCTGTAAAAATGCTTCGAGATAAAATTGCACAGATTGATAAAGTAATGTGTGAAGGATCACTACACATTTTAAGACTGGCACTTAGCAGAAATAATTGTGTTAAAGTGTACAATAAACTGAAGTTAATGGCCACTGTACACCAGACTCAACCTACAGTACAGGTGTTGTTATCTGCTTCTGAATTCGTTGGAGCATTGGACTTAATAGCAACAACACAAGAGGTTTTACAGCAGGAACTTCAGGGCATTCACAGCTTCCGGTATGTCAATTAAGTAAACCATTAGAAATAATGTTAGAAAATTTTAAAGTATAAATTTTAGTGTGTAAGGTTAGCTGAAGAAATGTATGATTAAAGTTACATGGTTATTTTTTCTTTCAGATTGATCTGTTTAGTAATGTTATCATTCTGATATTTTATTCTTAGCTAAACAAACAAAACTCATAAGGATCAATATTTACAAGGACATTTGGATGAAGAAGCAAAATTACGTTTTCTAGTAGATGAAATAAATGAAAGGCCAATCACAACTTTGAAACTAACGTTTTAGAAATATAGGAATTTTTTTTTGTCAAGATAGTATCAAGGTAACAGAAGAAATACCAATATATCTAAAATTAAGTTCCTTTTAAAAGCTTTAGACTAGATTTTTAATTTAATAATTATTAAATTTTATTCCTGATTTTCATTGTTTATCACATTACAAAAAACTCCACATGGTGTTGGAAAAGACCCAGTTTTTTCTGTTTTTATTTTGAAAATACCTTTAAGGTTAGGATTTTAGTTATTTTACGTGAGATCATGGCAAAATGTTTAATTTATTGATAGACCCATTACAAGCCACAAAATTTAATTCGGTTAAGTGTTCTTGTGGAAGTTTCTATTTGCTGGGAAACCCATCCAAACTTTACACTCTGAGTAACTACAGAGAATTTTTATGGAAGATATGTGCTCTATAACTTAAAAGATACTTAATATATTCTGGAAAATGTAGCTTCAAAGTAAGTTTATTACTGAATTATAAATTCATTTTTTCCCCCATTTTTCTTTCCTTTATTGATTAAGGTATTACATATGTGTCCTTATCTCCCCATTGCCCGCCCTCCCCCACTCGTGCCCTCACCCCCCTAGTGTCTTTGTCCATTGGTTATGCTTCTATGCATGCACACAACCACT